CACTTTCTTTTTGTTCTTAATTTGCTCCGTTACATTTTTTCTTTTGCGACCAGTAGACGATGTTGAACCTAACTCTGCCATGGTGAAAGTGGCCGCCTGTTGCTGGCGAGTCATTGAAGTACTGCTGCAATGCACGCCCAATGACGGCACGCCCAATGAGGGCACGAGATACATTTGTGCGTGCACGAGATGGAAGGCTGACAGACAGGGCGGCAATCCAGTTTTTACAGTATTACGGGTTCCACAGATGACATTTTTTTATGGATTTTTTGTCAAAGCACTTCAGATATTCATTGCTATCGGGATGTTAAGAGCATTCCATGGAATATAACAAAAAGTGTATCTCGAGCCGGTTTCTGAAACTATGAACCTTTAATGGAGCTACATCTATTTTGTTCTGACTAAAAGTAACACAACACCTTAAGGCTTAAGCTCAATGACCACATTTTATTTTGTAAAGAGGTTTTAAAATTAAGAGTTTCGGTTTTAACTACTAGCTTCAGAGGGAGAGCTAGGCTAAGCTAACTATCTCCTGGCTGAAGCTTCATCTATTCTACAATGAAGTCAGTGCTGGAAAAAGTATTTAGATTCTTAACTTGAGTAAAATGTGTAATACCACACTGTAAACATACTCAATGTCAAGTACTGCACCGAGAATTGTACTTCAGTAAAAGTATTTAAGTACAATTATGAAAATGACCATAAAGTATTAGGAATAAAATTACTAGGAGGGACTCCTTGCTGGAAAAAAAGTATTTTTAAGCAAGAACAGCAAATCTTCACATTTAATCAATTTATCTATTAACGCACTCATGGTTTTAGTTATTTAAATATAATGGTGGATGATTTAATATTGATCAAATAATCACATTTTAAAGGGTTTTCCTAAGCAAAATAAGAATGTATAAAGTAACTTGTCAATAAATGCAGTGAAGTAAAAAGGTACAAAGTATAGAGTAGTATTAAATGAAAGTAATTCCAAATTGTACTTTCCATCACTGATTACATTTAAAAATAAAACAAATAACTTGAAGATATAGTTGTTTTTATTTAATTTAATGTAGTCCAACACTATATTATTGTATGTTTGTAAGGTTAAGATATTTGATTATCTGCATTATGACGATATAACTTAAATGAATTTGAATTTGAGGGAGAGACAAAAGACAGAGAGAGGAAGAGAGAGCTAGACAAAGACCTGGAGAGAGAGATGGAGGAAGGGGAGGGGGGGAGTCTGTCATCACGTATGCCGGGGAGGAGAGGGGAGGGCCGGGAAAGGGAGGGGGGTTCACCCGGTCTGTCGGTCTCTCCTCCCTCTGCTGCAGCCGCCATGCTGCTGTAGGTCTCCGTGCATCCCGGTCCGGTGTCTCTCTCCTCCCCGCCACTTCATCTCTGAATCCCGGGTTAGCAGGCTCGGTTGTAGCTGTCTGGATCCACCGGAACCTGAACGCAACACCGGGTAAGAGAGGAGAAAGCCTCCATAGCAACAAACCGGTTTAACGGCATTATTGCTAGGTAGGTGCCTCCCTGTCCGTGTGTCAGCACAGCTTAGCGTTATAAGGGCGGAGAGATGGATAAAGTAAAAACGTGTATCGTATAAATATCAACTTATTTATGTATTTGAATGCACAAGATCCTGTTCTGCTTGTGGCTGCAGGTGCATTTTATGTGCCCGCAGAAAATCAATGGACAATTCTTCTCACTCTGGCCTTGCAGGACATTTCATTTCACTAAAGCAAGACGGTTGTATTTAACTTGAAACACGTTTTGCATGATGCTTTGAATGCACAACATTAATAATGTACATGCAAAAGCTTAAGGAAGCAAATGTATTGATGGTAAACCTGAATGCAAGCTTGTGTTCAGTGTTCTTAAATACTGAATTCAATATATTTAGAGATATTTGAAGGACTATCGTATCAAATATAATATATCATATGGACACATAAAGCACATAGGTGATATATAATGTGATGCATAAACTCCTATTCGGTCTCTTGCTGCAGATACATTTAATTGACTGCAGAAAATCAATGGACAATTCTCATGCTGGCCCTGCAGGAAATTGATGGTACACTAAATGCAAGCATGTGTTCAGTACTCCTAAATACTGAATTAAATATATTTAGAGATATACATGTGCAGGTTGTTGGAGGGAAATCATGTCCAATAGCCATTTGATTGTAATCTCTTTTGTTGGTAGTGATGGAGGGATGAGAGGACGCTGAGGGACAAAGTGTGACACCAACAACCGGCCGGAGAACCAGGACTATAAGCCCTTGGTGTAAAGAAAGCAGTTCCAGAAGACAGGAGTCATTGTTCACCGCTGTTGGACGATGCATCCTGTGTAGCCAAGACTCTTTTTGAACGTTTCTGGTCCAGTTTTGTCACCGCCATGTCTTTGAGTAAGACCCTCGAGTTGGAGCACTTTGACGAACGCGACAAAGTTCGCCGAGGACGATCCACCCGAACCAAAAGAGATGATACAACATCTGGAAGAGGAGGAGGAGGGTCCGGTCCAAATTCCCGGGCCAGCAGTTTGGTCCCGAGTCCGGCCCACAGCGCTAATTGTAGCTACTACAGAACCAGGACCCTGCAGACGCTAACCTCGGAGAAACGAGCCAAAAAAGTCCGGTTTTATCGCAACGGAGATCGGTACTTCAAGGGTTTGGTGTACGCGGTGTCCAGCGATCGGTTCAGGTCCTTCGATGCACTGCTGATGGAGCTAACGCGCTCTCTGGCAGATAATTTGCATCTTCCACAAGGGGTTCGTTCGATCTACACGATAGAAGGCGGGAAGAAGATCACCAGCATGGACGAACTGATGGAAGGTAGGACTCAGAAACTCTCAGAAAGTACAGGTGTTTGTGTTCAACATGTAAGAAGTAGAAAGTACAGGTATTTGGGTTCAACATGTAAGAAGTAGAAAGTACAGGTATTTGAGTTCAACATGTAAGAAGTAGAAAGTACAGGTATTTGAGTTCAACATGTAAGAAGTAGAAAGTACAGGTATTTGAGTTCAACATGTAAGAAGTAGAAAGTACAGGTATTTGAGTTCAACATGTAAGAAGTAGAAAGTACAGGTATTTGAGTTCAACATGTAAGAAGTAGAAAGTACAGGTATTTGTGTTCAAAATGTAAGAAGTCAAAGTAAAAAGTTGTCAGAAAAATAAGTAGTGGAGTAAAGTACTGACACCAGAAGAATGTACTTAAGTACAGTAACAAAGTATTTGTACTTCACTACTTCCCACCTCTGCTCTTACTTACATGTATTCAACATTTTTGGAAACTGAGAAGATCAAAACCACTATTTAAACTCGGATGGACAAATAGATTATTATAATTAGTATTATCGTTAATCTAGGAAGTAATTGGCTAAATGAAACTAAGATTGAGTTGCAGCCCTTTTGAGTAACTGGTGACTCAGAAACACATCTAATTTGTTGAAACATGTTTATTTGTCGTCATGCTGAGATTAAAACCACTATCTGTACGCTAACTATGAAGCTACATCAAGGGGTAGGGGTGCAAGTAATTGGTTATTACTTAGTTTTCTAGACTAATTGCTTCATTTGGTCTATACAATGTTGGGAAATAGTTAACAATTCCAAGATGATGTCTTTAAATCTGTTTTTTTTCAAAGAAATTCACTAAATCCAGAAATTATCTATATGGCTAAGTATCAGCTTTCTTGCTTAAAGATGAATTGATTAATCATTGCGGCTCTTATAAGGGTCACGTTATTTCCAAAAATGCCACAGTTTGTTGCTTAGAATATTAAAGAAGTTAAAATATATTTTAAGATACACTTGCATAAATGTGTTGATATCTTCGGAGTCTTGCTATCGGTCTCCAGTCTTCATGCTTCAGGGTTGGGAGTTATATATTCACCAGTGTTTCCCACAGAATTTGATTGATTCTATTTGTGGGGGCAGGATTTGAACTCGCAACCTTCCGATCATCAGCCCACCTCCCTATCCATTAGACCACCACCAAA